CCCCCCACACACACACACCCCTCCCCCGCCGTGGGAGCGCTGCTGCCGGCGCCGGGCCGGGTCGCGCGCGTCCCTTCAGAGCCGAGCGGCCGCTGTGGCGAGCGCGGCCTCCGCCGAGCCTCCCGAGCGCGTCCCTGCTCCGCCACCGCTCCGCTACCGCCACCGCCGCCGGCAAACATGGCCCGCCCGCGGCCCGCGCCGCGCCCTTGGCTGCTGCCGCTCCTGGCGCTGCTGGCGCTGCTTGCTTCCTGCGCCCGCGCCTGGGACAGCGGCGACCTGGAGCTCTTCGACCTGGTGGAGGAAGTGCCGCGGAACTTCTACGACTTCTTGGGGGTGCAGCAGGTGAGCGAGGGACCGAGCCCGCCCTCCGCCGCCCCCTGCCCCGGCCCGTTCCCGCGGGCCCCGGTGCTCACCGCCGTCCCTGACCCCCAGCACAGCTGCCCGGTTTCCCCCGCCGGCCCTCGCCCGGCGCTGTCACCCTCCTTCTGCCCTGGTTCCCCGGGCCCCAATTCCCGAGGCTCGGGGCAGCGCGTCTGTCCCTTTCCAGCCTCTCACCTTCTGCTGCRGGGGCTCTGGTCGCTCTGGTCTCTTTCAGGTACTGCTCTGTTGCTTCTCCTTCGTGCCCCATCATAAATCAGCCCTTCCTCTCACACTGTACCTTCGTGTGTTCTTACTGCCTGTTGCTCTTCTGAATATATCTCATTTTTTCCAAACCCATCTACAGTCAGACAAAAGTAGCTTCTGGGCTTTTCACACTTTGCATTAATATCGTYGGAATAGCAGTTATTTACCTTTCCTTCACTCCGCATAGCTGCTGGTTCCTTATCTTCTTAAGATTGTGCATCGCCGTGTGTTGTGGCTCATATTTTCTCTCACTCTTGCCATGTGGTAGACTGTTACCCTTTGCTTTGTTAATGGCTTGTAAATTGTTGTATTTGTTTACTTTCCATCTATCTTGGTTACTGTGTGTGGTTTGCACCTCTCTTTGATAAATAATACCTAAGATTATCTTAAAGAATTTATTAGGCGCCTTCAGTTAATTGTTCGTGTCAGTGTAGTCAAGACCGGAACCCCTATAAGGAACACTTTTATCCCATGGTTCTTGTGTACATGTTAGGTTGCTGGTTTTGCTGCCAYTTGGCATCTTCAACTTGTATGGGTTGTCCGGGCTCCCATGTGATGCCTTCCTTATCTTTAGGTTCTCTGCTCTGTGTGTTACCTTGCTCAAGGTGTCTCTACATGCATCTTAGCAAACCTGGTGAGYGATCCTTCTATTTAAGTGGCTTCTCTGCCAACTTTGAAGTTTATTCTTATGTAGTTATTGTAGTTTTGGAGAATAATGATTCTGTTGTCAGTTACATTTCATTAAGGCCATAACTAAAAAGAGAGGGAAGATGTTGGCAATATCTAAGGGTCTAGTTTGGGAAACCACTGGCTGTGGTTGTTCAGTTTCATCTCTTTCTTTCCTTCAGTCCTTCTCAAGCATCCAGTGTTAAATACTTTTGAATACCATCATGTATAAAACACCACAAGCGCTGCTATTCATGTTTCATTTTCATGACCCTAAAAATCTAGGTATTAATTGTCAAAGATAATTTTAGTGTTAGATAATGTAGGAATGCAAAACTTTAGTTTTGTTAGTCGTGTTCAGATCTGGTATGCATCTCTTTGTTAATATCTTCCACAATCCTTTTTTCTGTGGCCAAATCTGTACTTTGGCCTGTATGTTTAGTAAAATACGTTAATTTTAGCAAGCAAATACTCTGCTAGTTCAGATTTCTGCTTCTAATTGTAATAGAAAACTTGCATTACTTGCAGTGTGGGAGTAAGGAAAAAGTTGGTGGAAGAGTAACACAAATGAAACAGATTTTTTTTAATTTAAAGTGTACAGCAGTCATTTGTCCTGTCATTATAGCCAAGACTAGAGGTGTTCATAGTATTAGATGCTTTACACGTGCAGTAGGATAGACCTGTGAGTGCAATAATAGGTATGCAGCGTTGGAAGTTGAACTTCAATAGGAATTTGTAAGACTGGAAAATGCTGTATGGATTTACAGATTCTTTCACACTGTCTCCATTGCTCCTGCTGCTTGCTTCTCCTGCTCTGACCTCTACCTGAAACTTCCAACAAGATGCTGATGTCATCCTGAAGGGATGTTGTCTTGCTAGGCAGCTGCAGCTGTTTAAGTTACCCTTATGAGAAKGGTAATTGGTCTTGTGATAGGATCAAGGGAAGTGCATGAATCTCCGGTGTGCTGTATCCTACCTTGGATGTCTTTTACCATAATGCCTTAATATGATGATTGCATGTTTCTTCAGGTCTTCTGCTATTTTTTTAGTACTGTGGCTTAATGGAGCTTATTTGTTGCTTTGTATGTCATTATTGTTTTAGCTGGGATGCTTTTTAGTACAGTGCTGTAATTTCACTTTTTGTAGTTCTGATGTTACTGTTTCCTTCCCTGTGTTCAGGTAGTTTTCTTGTCAACAAGAGTTGACAGTGTATGTGACAATAGCCTTTATGGCCACACCTTTGGAGTGTTTAATTATCTTTCATTTATCAAAGCTTGCTTTTTCCCATTCCTATTTCATTACCTTGTATCATGTCTTTCTTTCGTGTACTTGTGGGAGAGAGGGTACTTCTCCATTATGCAGGATGTAATTTCTACATCTGAGATATGGATGCTCAACTGTGTTTGTTAACAGTAATTTATCAGGGTTGCCAGATTTCTTCTTAACATGTCATCTTGTGTTTTGAAAAAATATAGGGAATGTCGCCAATGCTTCCTTAAGGCATTAAAGTAGCTTAGGTTTTGTTGGGAGAATTGTGGCACTGATTATTGAACTCATACATGATGTCAGAAGCTGATGCTGACTTCAACTGACAAGGTGCAGAAGGCATTATGGGAAGTGCTGTAGCTCTCAAATATGCTTTGGTGAAGCTCTGGCATGTGGATTTTTTTCACTCAAGTTGGAGAGAAATGATTGGTTTTTTGTTTTGTTGCTGCTCTATGCTTGCATGAGTATGGATTTTATGTTTTGTAATTTTGAGGGCCTTGTGGAGGCCTCCTGGCATTGTCAGGTAACTCATCCAGCTCTGGTAAGGTGCTAGGTTTGAGCTGCTGTAGTGTTTTCTGAAATCAATGKCAGAGATGTAGGATGATCTAAGGGAAGTGATTTTTGTTGTGGTTTTGAATGTGGAATGACAAAGGAAGAACAAAATTGTGGCTGTCTTGGCTGTTGAATAACTGACCTTCATTCCTGACTTCAGAGAAGGATTGGCTGAGCAATCTACAAATGCTCATGGAATGGTTGAAGTTGGAAGGTCCGTTCTTGTCCAACCCCCAAGTGTTAGGCCTGAGCGCTTGGATAAAGAAGTATCTGACTTTTGTACAAGGATCCAGTCTRTTTGTTTTTTAAATCAGATCTGATAGTAACATCATATAAGAGAAAGTCTTGCATTGTTATATTGTTGCTATTGCTGTTCTGACCAGTGTGGTAATTGATCTACCTTCCCTTTCCTTGGTAGTTCTTAAATTGATGATGCGATTTAACTTAAATGGCTCATTTAAAACATTGCTGTTTCAAGAAGTTTGACCCAGCTGAATGGGGACATAACCTTTGGCTTGGGAAAAGGTTGCATTTGYCTGTCCTCCAAGTGGTTACTGAAGAAAATAGAATCATAAACTCTTGACAGATCTGATGTAATATCCATTTCAAGAATCACTTCAATATAGTCAGTTTCAAACTGATGAGCCMATCAAGACCAAATAGTATTACCTAAAAACTCAGATGAAGCAGCAGAATTATACCAGAGGCTATGCAGACTCAGTAATATGATGACCTGTTATCTGAGAATGAGAACATAGCAATGTAATGTTAACTTCTGGGAAAAATTCCAGGAAGATCATAGGAGCTACAAACTTGTATGGCAGACAAATGAATGGGTCAAGTTAACTTTATCATCTCTTACAGCTTTTAATAGTTGATACCTGCATGAATATGATACACTTTGGATTAATCAACTTGGCATCAGTTGAACCTGTGGATCTCCTTCCCAAAATATACTTTTGATTATAACTTCTTAATGTGGCGTYAAGGAAATTTTCTGTTCCCTTAGTCTTTTTGATTTGTAGCCAGGAAGGCACTAYAAGCCTCTGAATGTCTTTTGAAACTTTGTGCTATGGTTCTTGGATACAAATGATCCATCAAGAAATTTTTCAGTAGCCTTTTGTATGATGAAGAGCTGGATTGCTGGAATTGAGCTTTGTGGAGCCATGTGTCATATGCCAGGTAGGACCAAGGAAGGTCTGCATATGGCTTTGGCCTCCACTGGTAATCAGATAAGGCAAGGGGCTGTTGTTGAAAGTTCTGCTAGGCCTGTGCAGTGTAGAGAAACAAACACAGGTTCTCTGAGAGCACTTTGAGATAGCAGAAGAGGCCCTGGGAGCTCAGGTTCCTGAGTGAGAATTAACACAAGTAGGACTTGCTGGCCAACACGGTGGATAAATAYATAACCTGAAAAATGTTGATGGGAATATTTTCTTCAGTATTGATGTAYGCTTTTCTTATGCCACGTAAGATTTATATTGAACCAGGCTCTAATCTGTGTGTGTGGCTTTACTGTTGAGAACTAAGAGCACTGTCTCCATTGCAGGGCGATGGGTTTGTTAGATGATGCTGCAGCACAAACTGCATGTACAAACCTGATTTTGTTCTGACAGCCTGTGAGGCATTGGTACGTTAGCAACTCCAAGAAAGTGCMAGACATGAAAACCAAGGAGTTGGATTTCTATGGCTGTGGGAAACCACAATCTCTCCARATGAGCTGGATGTCTTGAGCTAATAGGCTTCTTTCAAAACTGCTGAAACAGAGGAGCTGTTGTGTGCTGTGTCAAGTAGCAGGATCTGACAGGGTTATGTCTGTAGAATGCAATGTTTCATGCTGAGGAATTGATGTCCATACTATTTGCATTTCAGGGATTTTTTTTTCTTTTTTTCTGGCTGCTGTTGCAATAATTCCAGGCTGGCTGCATGGACTCAATGTCTGTGTTGAAACATGCTGCTTACACTCCTGGTTTCACATCTTATAATTCAGTTCTCTCCAAAAGGAATCCTGTTCATCCACTCCAGGACTGCTTCATGATATGCAGTCAGTAGGTACGATGAAGAAGTTCTCTTTAAACATGCATTCCTGGTCTGCACTAAAAGAATGAGGTAGCTGCACCTTTAAGACTATCGTTTATGGTAAATGACTGACACTGAATTTTACCTCTTGGCATTGCTCTGTAAGAACAGGAATGAACATCATAATAAACTGTGTGGCTTTTATGGTATTCTCAAGT